TACTTACTTACTTACTTACATAGTATTTTTTCATTTTTGGATGACGTATTGTTGATCAATTTCAGATGACTCATGTCTTAATTTGTCTGAATTTACTAAAAAATACCTTATGGTATTTTTTGTCATTTTGATTGACTTTCTATATTGTACTTTTAGTCAACTTTGGTGTTTTTTCCTTTTTACGTTTTAAGAAACATCATACTGATGATTTAAGGCTTTCAGTTGAAACCTGAAAAACCTTAGTGTGCACAGTTTTGAATGATTTTTTCTAGGCTGGCCGATTTTCCGTAGACACTTGCTACATTTTTGACTTAATTGGCCAAACTTGGGGAACTTAAAACTCTGTATGAGAGAGCTGGAAGTTAGTCTAGTGGTGAAGTCACTTGACTCTGGTGCAGCAAGCTCATGTTCAATTCCCACAGTAAGCTTTGGTAACACAAAGTGAGAAACTTAGTTTGCACTTTTAAAAGAGTTAAAGTGTAATATAACACATACAATTATATCTTGATCCAGCACACCACCTTATTTAAAAAAAGTGTTAAAGCAGTTTGTGGGATTTGAACTCATGAGCCTTTGATCCTAAGTCAAAGTACTAACCCACTGGACTACACACCAACTGCCTCAAAAACAGGTTTACTTCCCTAAGTTTGTTCTATTTCTACCTTGTTGAAAAAGAGATAAAAGCTGGTGGCACCGCTCTGCTAGGCTCCCTGATCTGGGTCTACTTTTGCATCTACTTTTAGTCTCACTCTCTCCCACACACACCCCAAACCCAACCCCCCACCCGTTCCCGACTCACTCCTCCACACAGCTAATTTATCACTAACTTTGGTTTGTTGAATGTGTTTGGTTCTACGTTTTGCATCTATATTATTAAGTGTCTTTGACAGGAACATACTCATCAGCAGAAGGTACTTTGTTAGTGTCCTATATAGTTACATATAGGATTATATTATACATACAGGATTATATTTCCTATATAGTTACATATAGGATTATATTATACATATAGGATTATATTATATCTAAAGATCCGACAAGTGGGTGGAACTTCAAACACCCCTTGTTTTGGCTCCCCATGAGCCAGTTTGGGTTTGTACCTTCATCAACTTTCAGATGTGATGAATATGTTTCAAGCTCAGACACTCATTGAGGAGCTAATTTTTCCTCTGGGATTTGAACCCTGCACCACAGATCAATGAAGCACCAACAGCCATGGGACAAACCCACTAGGCCGCCTGCCAGCTACAWTTACAAGGGTTTTACTTCCCTAAGTTTCTCCAATTACTTGAGTGAAAGTGAAGAAATCATACAAAACCATGTTAAAGTTGGTGATGGGATTTGAACCTGTGATCKTCCTGCACCAAAGCYGAGTGACTTCACCACTAGACTAACTCAGCACTGATCCSACAATGTTTTAACTTCCCCAAGTGAAGCATTTTACTCRGGTGAAGAAATCTTTCAAAAGTGTGCAAACTAAGGAATCCACTTTGTGTTAYCAMAGCTTGCTGTGGGATTTGAACYTGTGMTCTTCCTGCACCAAAGCCAAGTGCCTTCACCACCAGACTAACTCATAGTTCATTCACATGAYGTTTTAACTTCMTCAACTTTTGTCAATTACATGGGTGAAAGTGAAGAAATCTTTTTTACTTACTAAAGTATGTGGTATATTTATTCATTTTTGATGACTGTGTGTGGTATTTATTTTATCTTTTTATTGTTGTCTTTTTGTATTTAAGTGAAACTTTTTTTCTTTGCAGCACTAAGGGAAGAGGCAAGGCTAAAGGCCGGCTGAGATGAGTTTCATCTTGTTGAATCTTCTGCATTTTCACTGAAAGAAAAGTCTAAGCTAATTCTGTATGGAATAAATTAATGTTGGCAACAGCATCAAGATATTTATCTTCTATGTATTTTACAGTC